ATATCACATGAAGGTGTCGCATGTTACAACTGTGGGTGAATGGTACAAAACAACAAGTTAGATAAGTAGTTACGAAAGAGTGATTTATCCTGAGTTTGATGCTGCTGATCATGATATACCTGAGGCCGTGTCGAAGATGGTTTTGTTCCCACCTAGAACAAAGAGACCTTCTGGCCGTCGCCGGAAGAATAAGATTCCATCATGCGGAGAAATACCAGTAAGTTGTGTAGGTGTATTGTAATGACCATATTATAGTTGTTGAGTTTTCATAATATTGTAATTATTGCAGAAAACGAAGACACAACGGGCAACAGCAAACAAGTGTGGTCGTTGCGGTGGTGTTGGGCACAATCGTACAAGATGTACTATTCCGTTATGAGTGAGGAAGAAATGTTTTGCAGTTCTCTTTTGTTTTTTATGCTTTTTTTTTTACTATGGCGCTGATTTTGTTTATGCTAGCAAGGATATTATAATGGGTATTGAAAAACAGCAGCTCCTACTCGGTTATTGTAAGTGCCTTAAAAAAATAGAAGTGTCTATAATGTAATCCAAACTCCCAAAAGTGCCTCATAGTGTAATGCACCCTTAAAACAGCAGCTCCCTTTTGGTTCAACTTGCTTATTTTATGAATTTATGGTTTTTATGTTTTTGTGAACTTTGTTTATATGTTCGTATATCTGTGGATGACATGATCTGTTTGATAGGGCCACAATTTGTTAAAATATGGTCAGTAAGTGTATGTTTAGAATGTATGGAATTGTAAATTTTGATCAAAACCTGGATGTTTAAAAGGGAGTAAATGTCCACCATCTGATCAAATAAATTTGAATGAAGCTTTCTGGTCAGTAAGTGTATGTCAAGAATGTATGGTTTGTAATGTTATATCAAAACATGTATGTTCATATATCTTTGGATGACATGATCTGGTCAGATGCCTATAACGTTTGTTTTAAATAATTACATGTTAATTATCAGTATTAATGCATTGTTTTAGATCCAAGAACCATTTTGTGGGTGGGGTAGTAACCTGATGAAGGTCTAATATTACTTAATGTCGATGGTAGGATGTTAGTTGTACTTGTAACATGAAATATGTTTTCTTCTTTTTGATAGGGCCACCATTTGTTAAAATATGGTCAGTAAGTGTATGTGTAGAATGTATGGGATTGTAAATTTTGATCAAAACCTGGATGTTTAAAAGGGAGTACATGTCCACCATCTGTTCAAACAAATTTGGATGAAACTATCTGGTCAGTAAGGGTATGTCAAGAATGTATGGGTTTGTAAAGTTTTATCAAAACATGAATGTTTAAAAGTGAGTAAAAACACCATTGAAAAGTTTTATGTTCATGTAAGAAGTTTGATCATTTAGTATATGTCAATTATTAACTGATTTGTTTAGTAGAATGTTTAAAAGCCCATGATTGAATTTTTTTTGTCAACGAATGTTTTGTGCTAATAAAGAGGAAAGGAATTTAACTCTTTGAAGTCTTGAAGGTACCTTGCAGAACACGTGTCTCAGTGGGAGTGACCAACATGTAACGAGATGAACAAGTTAACGTAACCAGCATGGAAAAAGGAATTTGCTTTATAAGTGGTCGTACTCCTAAAGTTAGTTCTATGCATTAATACATTGTTTATAGTGTCAGTTGTTAGGTAGGCTGTTAGATAGGGAAATTAATGGATGTTAATATATGTGTCAGCGTTGAGGGGCCCAGCATAGCTGACGAGAGGCTCTATTTTCGAAACTTATGAGTGAAGCACAATTGAGAATAGTTTAGGCGGAAAAATAAATTGAAAAGAATTGGGATTAGGCAGGAAAACAATTGAAAATAATTGAACAATTTTTGATTTTTTCATAAAATTGGGAGGCAATATAATTTAGAGCTGATCAAAAGGAAGAGTGAAATCTTGTTTGTTAATCTTTTTGAAGAAACAGTTCTGACAACTATGACAAAGCTACCATCAAATGTTTTGAACAAAATTGCTAGTTTCGCAACGGCTGATGGCATTGAGAGTTTGAAGAAGTACATAAGAGCTTGCTCTGAACTGAATAGTGCAGCGTTCTCTGTGGAGGCTCTGTTTCGTGTAAACATTAGGAAACGTCATGATTTTGCATGGTGGATTGCGAAGGAGTCATGGTATTATAGTTTTTTTTCGGAAGCTAATTGTTGCAAAACACTCGTACGCTCTATATATTGAAAATGTTCGACTAGCCTTCAACGTTTCAGAGATTGATGTTGCACTTTACATCCTAGATGATGTGAAAGATGTAATCCCGCACGCCAAATTAATGTACATCATGCTCTGTTTCTATGCAGGAAGAGAATGTTCTGACGTTTATCTCGAGTTTCAGAGGAAATTCAGACCGAAGCAGGCTGGTTTGATGGGTAAAGAGATGATGTATCACATCACATCAGTTAATCCGAAATAGGCTGATACGTATTATTCCACATGGAATCCAGATGATTCTCCAGAATGTTGGGAGGAGCATTACTGGTTAAAGGAGACAAACGGTGAGCGTTGCGCTATGTGTCCTTACTTCTACTCGTCTAGGGACATATGCATAATATCTTAGACACTGTATTTTGAGTTAGGCCAATGTGTCTTGTAAGAGATTCGTTTCGTTGTAAGACATTTTTTTTCCTAGTGTTTTGTAGGATTTGTGTGGGCAGTTCCACCATGGGCAGCTTCTTTAAAGTTTTGTAACAGCATATGGTTAGTTTAATTGGACTTGTGGTCAGATGATGGTGTACAATTTTTGGTGGACAGTACAATCATGGTCAGCTGTATTATGAAATGGTAGAAAGTGTTTGTTTGTTACAATACTATGGTGAACCCACCAAGTAAATTTGTGTGGGCAGTTCCACCATGGGCAGCTTCTTTAATCACTTGTTTATTATGTGGACAGTTTAATTGAACTTGTGGTCAGATGATGTTGTACAATTTCGGGTGGACAGTACAATCATGGTCAGTTGTATTATAAATTGGTAGAAGTGTTTGTTTGTTACAATACTAAGGTGAACCCACCAATTCATAATAAGCCGAAGAAAACATAATCTGAACAGAATATAGTTATCGTGGTGAACCCACCAATTCATAATAAGCCGAATAAAACATAATCTGAACATAATATAGTTATCGCACAGAGATGACCATGAGAGAGTGAACATACACCTTTGAGCAGATTCGACGTCCTTCGTAGAGGTAGACGCAGTCAATGCATCGAAAACCTTCCGGTTCAACACCTTGGTTATGAACTCCCCAACACTGAGGCGGATACGGAGCCCTCCATCTTGGTCCTTCTGTATCTGCGCTTCTTGGATCGACAATTGTTATGTCATAAATCATCCTCTCTGACATCCATTGTACATCAGAAATACTTCTAACCTTCATCCGAAAAAGGACAAAAACATCTAATAAATCCCAACCCACGCACCAACAGAGCATTACGTACATCAACTTTGCGTATGGGTACATGTCTTTTATTTGATCTAGAATGTATATCGCGGACCAGATGTCGGAGTCATAGAAAGCTAAGCGTAGAGAGTGGATATACAGCGCGTAAGGATTCTTAGCCTGCAAACATCTCTTGAAAAGTGATTTGTACCAGAAAAACTCATGACCCCACCATGGATAATCGAAATGATTTACCATTGAAAGGCGATGAAGTGCTACCTCTGATAACGATGCGTCTTTCAGTTCAGGGCCGGCCAAAATGCTATTCTTGAGGTCATCGACACCATAAGCGGCTAGGAAGCTTGCGATTTTAGCAAGTACATAATGAGGTAATTTGGGGGTCATGAATCCGATGTGATAGAAGGAGCAGTTCTAGCTTAAGCCTAAGGCCTAAGTTGATCCTTACTTAATAGAATAGCCATAGAGCTCATCCCCGGAAAAATAGTTGATGATTTCTTGATGGTTGACTGCAAGCCCCTCGACGCTGCCTTCTGTTAGGCTATAGATTACAGGAACAAATGTAGTTGAATGAGACAAGTCAAATCTCGAATAGCACAAGCACAAACATCAAAGCTGCTGTTGGCCAGTAATTCATTTTTTTTTTTCATTCGAGGTAAAACATTCTAAACTTTTTTAGCAGGGGTGGTATTCCACAACCCCCTTTTTTCACAAATGGTGACCCTAATCGTTCTTCTCAGATCGCTCCAGTACGATGGATCAAGGGGGGCTGCCAGAAAAAAATGAACACGATCGAGGAGTTCGCTCCGCCGCGCAAGATCCTCGAACCTACCACGAACGCCTTCTTTCTTGTTACCCAAAACTAAAGTCGGTCGAATGGTTTTTTTTCCTGCCTCGGAACGTCGAATGAAATAAGGGGCCGGGTTCTCTTTCTACAGATTCCCACGCCTTACGCACCCGTTCGCCACTTTGTTCACAACTCTTCCCACCTCTTGGGTGAGACAAGCTACCTTGAGCTAGGAGCCTCCTTTGGATTGTGTTAACGGTGAGGGGAATGGAAAAGTCGATTTGAAGTAAATCGGAATGGAATTGGAAGGAGAAGTCGTTGTGTTAGATAAATTTTTATTTTTAAGTGTTATGCACAAAATGTGAAGCCAAGGATGGATAAACGTGGAGCCTTATCCATCACATCATTTTTCAAGTATATTAAATTGTTCCCGGTGATGACGAAGGTTTTCCATTTTGGAGGGATTAAATATTGGTAAAACATCGACCATGGTCTACTAGCCAATAGAGGGCGAACATGTCTGGGCAAGCTGATATGAAGTAATTGATGAAATTTTAATAAATAGATTAAATACATATTTATGGATGAGTCGGTGTGGACGGTGTTTTGATACTAGAAAAAAGGTTATTGGTAGTTCTTAATAT